AATACAAAAATATGGCTTGCAACTCCCATCTCTATGTATTCAAGCAAACATAAATCAGGTATGCCGGTCAATTGATGATACTCAGAGATTCAAAATGTCTTCTTCACAGTAATAGACAGCCACAATATTCATTTCCTCCTCTATTGCACAGGGCATTATGACGTAAGACCAAAGCAATTACCTTTCTGCATCTGATCTGCCATTAGCTGCCTGTGTGTGCGTATGTGTGTGCATATGTGTGCATGTGTGTGTGTTCTACTGGATCCATACTGAGGCGTTTAGTGAAGTGTTCTCTCCTCTTTTGAGTCTCACATCAAAGATTGGATCCTTGAGCAGTGCACCTCGGGGAGATGATGTCATATGCCTCACTCACAAAGACATGCCCCAAACAGCTGACAGGGTTCATCATACTTAAGAAATGTATACTTGATGCATTTTTTTTTTTTTTTTCCTCTACAGCAACACACAACATTTGGTCATATTTTTATGTGTATGTATCTCTCTGATCATACATGTTTGAAATATTATCTTCAATATATGTTGACTGTTTACTGTTGAAAAAAATATTTAAAGTGCACTAAGTAGCTTTTCTAGTTGGGGGTCTGGCGCCTGGTTGTTTCTATGGAAATATTATTGCTTTACCTGTTCCACAGTATGACACTAAGCTTATCTATCTTACATTTATTCAGTTAAAAATGTGACCTGGATAAAGCAGATGAAAATGGATGGATAGAAATGTGACCTGTAATCTGTCTTGTTTGCGTCACCTGTTTTTAAGTAATGCTACACTGTGGAATATTCCAACAACACAATAACATTTCCACCCACCCAGAAAAGCAAGTGACGGACAACCCATCAACAAAGTTACATGTATGGGGGAAAAAAAAAAAAAAAAAAAATATATATATATATATATATATATATATATATATATATATATATATATATATATATATACATATACATATACCTGTATATATGTGTGTGTTTTAATTCCACAGTATGACATTGGGCCAAAGCACCTATTGATTGCTTTTTACCAGCCAATAAACTATTAAGCAGTCTTATCCTGGATGCTCTGTGGCATTTTTATAAACAACAATAAACAATCTCTCAGATAAAACAACAGATTGAATGTCCCATTAAGATCTTATGCATAAGGTATTAAACCAAATGTCAATTTGTCAAGCAATTTTATTAGTTTTATTGGCCCCATCTTCTCTTTTATTGACTTTTGTTTATTGCATTGTTGTTATTGAATGCGGGATTCCATTTGACTCGTATTGCCTTGGCTTTAGAAATATTATCAAATCTGCCTTTTTTTTTTTTTTTACACATTTCTCATGTCAAAATAAACACTAAAAGTCAATGCATTCTTCCATTTTACATTCAATAGTCCAGCCTAGACAGCATCCCTGGCACGAGACAAAACATTGCATGCATTTACACGTATTTTTCTAAAAAAGTCATACTTGTAGAATAACTTATTATATTTACCAAAACAAACTGCTCCCTGCCTGTAGTCATGTTAAAATGTGCCAAATGAGAAGCCAGCATGCCCTCCTCTCTCCTCAGGGTGGTAATTCTCTCTCTCAAGACGGTCTGCACTAATTACGGTTGTAACGCATCAAAGCAAAGCGTTTAGAAAAGCCCTTTTGACCACAACAAGATACCCCTGCCTCCAGTGCATGTATTCAACTAAAATGTTCAGTCTACATTAATATACTGTAATTACATGATAGCACAATGTGGCCATGAAGGATCTTGGAAGTATTTTTACAATAATTGCATGTATAAATAGTCTAAGTGTTAGATAAGTACACTAGACTGGACTTACACAGACATATAATTATGAACAGAGAAATGTGGGAATGGACAGTAGTTGACAAGAATTACATGTTATTATATGAATATCAAGGTTATGTCAGTGAAGTGGTTCTCAAAGTGAACCAGAGAGCGGAGACCTGCTTTGAAAGGCTTTTTGTCCCATGCCAGTAAGTTTAGTTTTGTTTCATTCTGGTTTAAGGGTCTATACCCTATTTTGTTGGTTTGTTTGTTTGTTTGTTTTTCAGGTAATGAATCAAAATGTGTGATCCAAAATGGGGCCACTGTGTGCTGTCTGTGTCTAATTATGAAGTGTTTTATTGTCTGCGAACCAGGAAGTAATACAGGTGTAGTGTTTTTTGTGTGTGTGTGAGTGTAAATTTTTTTAGCAGCTTAGCACTATGTCCAAATGTTAACATACTTAGAAATCACAGTAAAGACATTCTTCTTCATGTCTTAGTCCTAGTTTAGACTTGGTGTAGTCTCAATAATCCAATATCAGTTTATTTTTACTAGTTTGAATCTCATGATGTAATCCGGGTTTAGATTAGTCAGGATATCACTGGGATTTCGCAATTCAGTTCTGTTTTGGACCTTGTTTAGCTGATGTTTAGCCTCTTGGTTTTTATACTTAAATTCTTTCATTTTATCCTGCTAAAGTTGGCACTATGAAATCCACACATTGTCTTTTCTTTTCTGTGTATAATTGTGGATGGTGGCGGTTAGAAAAGCTGTGTCTCTTGAGAGGGAAACTTTAGTCTGTGCGATTGTTAGACCGTGTGTTTTGGTGGCTGACAGAGGATGTGAACAGTAATTGGGAAAGGACAGAAAACTCCTCCATTTTCTCGCTTGGCTGCACCGCGACTGTACGGAGAATTCAGGAGAGGATTAGGAACAGGAGGCGAGCTTTTTGTAAGTGATTTACCGCCCTCACTGCCTCTGCCTTGTACTCTATTAATTACACTCGCACTTTGGTGACCGCCAGCCAGAATGGAAATGAATTAAAGGCTATGTTTGGGAAGATTAGAGCTTTTAAAATTCTGGGCAGGTGCAGGTTAGCGGTGCGGGGTGCTAATTGCAATACTCACATCTCTGTAATTGTTTTTGCTTTATGACAGTGACGGTGATGGTGCAAGTCAATAAATGTGATGACAAGGAAATCTGTTTATCCTCAATGAGTCACTCAGCTTTAATTTATGATAAGATGTGACCAGTGTCCAAAGTACAGCCGCTGTAAAATCACTTTAGTAGAAGTTAATTAAGAGTGACTGTAAATTGTGTAAACGTCTACTCAAGCTATGACTACAAAATGTGTTTAAAAAAACTAAATATTAAGATTAATGTAATTAGTAAAAGTAGCAATTAGTTATAGTGTGATTGATGTCCCTCCATCATGTTTTCACCATAGACTGTATAAGGAAATGAACTGTGGGAGCGTGACGTCACCCAGTGTTCAGCTCCAGTCAATTGAAGGTCATGATACTGGCAGTTATAGGAGCGAATTTGGAGACAGGTCCATATTAGGCATAATAATTTATTTACTTACAAAACAGCAAAATAAAAACACCATGACGAGGTTCACTGCAGTCGTTAAAGAGAGAGAAATTACAATTTTCCCAGTCAATAAGAGTCAGTGCCACATTGAACACTTCCTGAACACTTCCTTTTTGGAACTGGTCTCCCATTAGCCAACATTATGCATCAGTTTGATTTTTGAAAGTTTTCTGTCTAGCAGGTTTTATTAGACAGGACAGTGAACCATGTGAAGGCTGGGGATGAAGAGTTGGAAGCGGCATTCAGTTGGAGCCAACTTCAGGCTGGCATGTATGTTGTTTATCCAAAATGCCTAGGGTATAAGCGGGAAAGCCTCCAATGAACAGCACAAATGACATCTGTAAATAGTTTAAATTGAATATATTACTATGCATCTTCATCTGCTGGGAGTTTTCAGTAATGTAAGAGGGGTTGGGAACTTGGCAGTGTTTTTTTTCCTACTCCATTAGGCTATCAAACATCTTTTCATGAATGTTATTGTATATTTGGGCCATATCTTACCCCAATCTTAGCACTATTGCAATTGTGGGGTGTGGAGCTCTATAAAAGAGTTGTGCTGTACCTGAATGTCAGGTGGAGTGGAGCAGACTGAGGGCATGGTGTGGCACATTCAGAGAATTGCCAGAATGGCAAAAATAAATATCAAACTAGTCCACTGAAAAACAGCATGTAACATGATCAAGTCTCTTTTATTTGGAAATATATTAGAATGATGTTTGTGCATTGTCTGGATGCCCTCCCACAGCAGAGCACAGCCCCTCGCCCGCTTCCTGTATCGTCTCAGCTCTGCTCTATAGTTTGGTTTGATATGGATCTGTACAAAAGCTGCTCATTCACATGAGGTCGTTTACAGCTCTGTCATAAAGTGTGTTTTCTTACCCTATCTGAGGTCCTACTGCTGCAATATTGGATTTCCTCACATTCTCGTTTTCATCGAGCTCTTTTCATCAGCTCTATTTAATTTTGTGACCAAATTATTCCCATTGTGCCTCTTTGGGTAGTTTATAAAGTTAGTCACCAGTAGGTGGACTACCATCAGAACTGTAGAAAAACAAAAAAAATTTGCACAGCCGTGGAGTGGCCGGACTCTTACAGGGATCAGCGCGCACATTTTTTGAGCTCGGGGCTGTGACATTGGAGCAGACGCACGTCTCATACTCTGTACAGACAGCAGCACATTTCTGCTTTGTGTGCTTATGGAACATATCAGTCACTTGTGTGGGGCAAATGCAGGGTGTCAAAACAGTTCTATTGTACCCATATATAATTTTTCCTCACACCCCTCTTTGCTGCCTGGTAATGAGGCAAAGATTGCAGACATTACCTACACCGGTAGTGCTTTTAAATGCTACAGCGGTCACAGAAATATCATCACCATATATGTACTTGTACAGTCTCACTCCAGCCTCCAGCAGCGATGTACTGCCCTACCTAGACACACCCTTTGTTAATGCTAGCGCTAAGATCAGGGCCCTTTATTTTTACTACTAGTGAATATGTAATATTTCATTGATAATATTTTGTTTTATGTACATCTTTATGGATTTGTTACTCGTCAAAGTTGTCCCATGCCTAAACTGTACCTCTGTTTACCTAAAATTTCATATATCTCTTGCCTTTAGGAGTGTTGTGGAACCTGTCCTCCTGCGATGCTCTGAAGATGCCCATCATTCAGGATGCTCTGGCTGTTCTGACCAACGCAGTCATCATCCCCCACTCGGGCTGGGACACCTCCCCTCACACGCAGGATGACCGAAAACTGCACCTGCACTCCTCACAGGTCCTCCGCAATGCCACCGGCTGCTTACGGTCAGTTAGATACAAATACTACATTGCTACTATTTAGGAATGGACAATTTTGGTGTTTTATTTATTTCTAGTAACCAAGTTCTCTTTTTTCTCATATAAGTATCGGTCCAATATGGAAAATGGGACCGATGATGCCCTAGTCTATGTGTACCCTTCATTTCCAGTTTGTCCTCTGTGCAGCAAAAAAGGCGGCTTTATGTTTACACAATCAAATATTTCAAGATTGTTATTGACATTGGAAAGTATTTTTTATCCATCACAATGGCAAGAAAAATATTGTGTAACTTATCGGTTGAAAAAATCTATATCTGATCCTCCGTAGTACTATTTTTAGAGGATGGAATAAGAGTGTTGGAGTTGAAAGCAGGATTATTTTTAGTTTCTGTTATTTTTACGCACTCTGAACTGACAGACTGAAAATGAGTCACTACTATTTAATTCTCTTGAGATGAGGTAATAGTCATACACTTGTCTGCTAGTAATGACAAATGCAGTTTGCTTGTTTTGGTTCACGGGCTCCTAGTATGCTAATAAGCTTTTGTGGTGGTCTCATTTACGTAGAAGGAATCTGCTTTCCTATGGCTGTTCCTGAGCTCCAGACTGTATTAAACCATTCAAAAATTTCTAGTTAGTAATAGTAGTCAGATGGATGGCAGCCTGTGAGATTTTAAAGGGGCTGTAACCATTTCTTTCATGTAAGTAATAAAGTAAATTTTGTCTTGCCCCAGTACAGATACATTGTAAAAGCAGTTCTTACCTCTGTATTGTTTGAGCATTATAAATCGTTTTTATTGAAAGTAACTGGCATGATAGCAAAACTCTGCTCTGGCCTCTGAAAACTGTGAAAGTGAAGAATAAGTTTGGACCATATAGGTTAAACGGAGCCTGTTTTTTTTCCACAAGCCTTAGATTCTAGCTTGACTGTATCTACCAGCAGTTACAGAAGTTGTTCCACTGTTATTTTGTTAACTTTTTATTGTGTTGGCTAATAATTCTTTGTGGACATTGTGCCTGGGTTCCAAAATAAACATGGCTTCCTAGAAATGTATAAAACAAGATTGTATTAGATATAAATTCTACGTTTTTTCTTTGTCTAAATATTATGTAGCAATTCCATCCATGGCAGAGAATGATTGTAAATGCAGGAGTAATGGATTCTGAGCAGATTTCCATAGCCTTGTATCTGCTCAGTGTTTTATTCATATGCTGCATGCTGTTGGAATACAGCAATACAACGAGTCTGAAAGATACAGAGCAATTCAAGGCTGTGTATTTGAAAGTTTTAATTCTATGATTAAAAATAATACTTCAGAAAGACAATTAGGTGGATCTGTTGAAAAAAAAACAAAAAAAACATTGCAGATTTGTATTTATTCGTAAAGATTTAGCTGAAACTGCAGCTCTTCTTCCCATTGTGTGAAATCCAATGAAATACCCAGCATTTCTGATAACATATAGCAGCATTAGCGCTTTCTAAATGAAGTCTAAAAAGGCAGTCGAGTGTTTCATCTCTGCAAAGTTATTTTCATATTGTTTTGATTTTCTAACTTTTTGCTTAAAGAGACAGCCGCAGCCTATTTTAAGTGTTATTTGAGTCTCTGTGAGTGTTTGAAGTTCTTCTAAAATAGTTGCAAAGTTGTTAAAGAAGTGCAGGGACATTTTTCATGTAAAATAAAGCAGCTTAGCGATGCACAATTAGCTTTGAGCAGAGACTAGGCCATACATTTTACTGTACATTTAACACGAACAAGTGACAAATTAGAGCGCTCTGCAAAGTACCGCGCCGTGGTAAAGTCTTAAATTATCCTTAAACTGTAGACTTTATCATCGAATTCATTTCATAATTGATTTCATGTTTCCAAAGCTGTCCTATATCTCACCAGCTTAAATCTCATTAAGAGGAAAGACTCTGCTCCTGATACATACACCCATTGTTGTATAAAAAAATTATCATGCTAATAAACAGCAATAACTTTCCAAAATAAAAACCACCAAGTAGATATATTTTCTAATACTTTCTTTTAGTTTCCATCTTGTGCTAGCTTCTGTCTGGATTGTTATCAAACCAAAACTTGTTTTTGCAGTTGTTAAAAATAGTAAAAATCAGATACTAATCCAATAAAACTTGAACTTGAATTTGAAGTGTACTGATACTAAGGAAAAATTTTACAAACAGACAACAGATAAAATGTTAAATTTATTGAAGATTTTAGAATCAAACTATTCAAGATTGATATTGAGTACTCAGCCTATTCTTTAGTATTGAAATGTTTGCCAGAAGCTCCACGGACTTTCTCTGTTTTATTAGTACAGTGTTATTGTCAACTTACTTAATCAAATGACTAACTGGCTAATTTAGGTAAAAACGTAAATAAAAATGGTTGTATTCTCCTCAGCATTTTCTTGTGAAGGACTTGGCACCACTAGAGCAGGGTTGAGTGGGGATAGAGTGGGCTCGCTGCCATTTCAACATTTGCATTTCTGTCTGTGAGCATGTCTAGCTTCTCCCTGTGTGCCTCTGCTCATTGCTGGGAAGCAACTAAATACATATTCAGAATAGTAATTTTGACTGTATACAAGTACAGTTACTCTACCATTTTGTGGTATTCAGAATACACTTACTTTCCTAAAAACTAAGAAAGACTTGACAATACTTCATCTTGCAATTTAAGGTTTGAACTTTGTGGTATTAATGAGAATAATTTAAAACACTGCTCTCGTGGTACGTTCATGTACGATTTTTCTTTCTCTAATCAGTGATAAAGAAATCCATGACAAATGTTGCAAAAAATATTTTCATGTACAATATAATGCAATTCAATGTGAAAGTATTCAGTACACTGATTGGACCATGTATCAGATTACATTTCAAGATACTATTATTCTTCCTATCACTGCCTCTACCTGATGCTGCATGTGGCCTGTCAATAGAGTCAACAGTTAACGTTAAAGATTTTCTGCTCTGTATAATAACATACAGTATAGAAAAATGTTTTATTCCATGTCAACGTACAAAGCCTGGGTCTCTGTGTGGACTTGCTAAGCTGGCTATTCATCTTTCTCATGCCTCGTTAGGAAAGGCTGGAAGTTAGATTAAAGATTGAATATTTCATGGTTTGCTGTACGGCTGGCCACCTGCTCTTTCCGCTGCTCCGTCTTTCCAATATTTTCTCATTTTCTCCGCCCTCATCCCTCACTCCGGCTCTATCAGCGCCCATGACTCTATCTCAATCATATTAGCCCTCCTTTATTTAGCTATTTATCCTGTGCAGACAGTCTGAAGCGGCTGTCTCCACATACATACAAACAAACAGGGCTAGCTTCACTCATACTGATCTGACACTTATAAATAAATTATAAATGGCACAGTGATTGCAATAAATTAGAAAAGATTGAGCTTTAGACGCGGAAGGAGATATCTTGCTTTGGCAAAATATGTTGTTAGTTGGGGAAATAGTTTGAAAGTCCTTTCAATTTGAATAAATATACAACAAAAATGAAAATCCCATCTCCCCTTATTCTGTCAGAAAGAAAAATCTGCCTGAAGTGATTTGACCTACTTTTCATCTTGTGAGGATGTTTGCTTTTTCATTATATTTAAGCATATTTGTTTTAAATGATATAGGTATAGCTTACTCCAAAACTGTTGCAAATGTGTCTTTTAATTGGACAAGTCTTCAAACAACTAAATGACTGCTAACCTGAACCCTGCTGAATAGAACAGAACTTTATTTGTCTGTTTCAAGATAAAACAGAAATTTGTCTTCAATACTAATTCAGGCAAAGGTATAGGAGAACAACAAGTAAGTCTTAAAAAGAGCTTTCGTGACTGAGCCAATCGCAAGCCAGGAGCAACTATTACACAGTCTGATATGCTCTAATTAAGTCTTGTAAAATAAGGGGCTTTGGTCTCTTGAAACATTTGTGAAACTGCTTAAGTCTCACCTTCAGAGGCGGCAGAATCTTTGTCTAAATGTATTCTTGAACTGAACTTGAAACTCCATGCTCTGGTTGCATTATGTAAAGTCAATTTCCAGTCTGAGAGCTTTTGTGGAGTGATATTCTGAGTTTAAATATGCTGGGACTAGCACATACTTTCAAAAAATATGATCTATCCATTTTTAACATCTGAATACAGAGAAATTTAGGGCAGTCCATCGGAAATGTGCTTCAGTGTGCCAGTAAATGTCTTGGTTGAGATTCATATATTGCACAAAGCATTAATGATCTATGAATATCACACACAAAGGGTAGAAACATCATATCCCCTCAAATGAGTAAAAGATGTTTTTTGTTTTTTTTTACACTTTGCCCCAATAAAACATCTGTACATTTCAATCTACTGTGAATTAAATTATGCCATTTTAAGTGCTATTAGGTGTGATTAGATGCTTATTTTATATTGTTGAGGTTCATATAATGTAAAGAAAAATAAAACATGATAAAAGAAGGAAAGTTGTTTGCAATTTGTGCCAGAAAACAGCAGCAGTTATTGATTGATTTATTAACTGATTGATTGATTTTGACTACCAAGTTAAGCATATCTTCTGAAGTGTGCTATCCTGAGTGCTGTTTCAGTTGAATCAGTGTTTTCCACGTTGTCTTACAGGAACGTGAGCTCTGCTGGAGAGGAGGCTCGGAGAAGGATGCGAGAGTGTGAAGGTTTGACAGACGCGCTGCTCTACGTGATCCAAACGGCCCTGGGGAGCAGCGAGATAGACAGTAAGGTACGGACATGCACACAAGAGCCCACAGTGGAACCGCCTGCAGACATTCAATATACTGAACACCAATGTACTCATATTACATCTATAATACACAGTCACGCTACTCTGACTCCCCACTTCCAGGAGCCTGAATCTATATAAAGAAATGAGCCGCTCTATCCAAGACTGAAATGCAGTGCACATGGATGAGTAGTTATGCTGTAGAGTATATTTAAATTTACATATGTTTACATGAGTTCTCTGCGTCTGTGTTTTATTGTTTGCTTCCACTGTATTCAAGTGTGGTTTGCATAATAGCTTCTGACTGAGGCCGTTCCCTTTCCATAAGTTTACATGATGATTTGTTTGGTTTAGTTTTTTGAATCCATAAAGGAAATGCACTAGTATAATTGCCAATGATGAATAGTCTTCGCATGGCTTGAAACAGGCAAGAGCAAAGTCATTCTGCCTTCGCATATATCAGTGATTAATATTTCATATCCCTGCACCAAAACTTTTCATCCAAGTTTTGTATGGTCATTGCCGATTAAAAATAACAATGCTGTCTGTGCTAGGCCTTTATGTGAGCGGGGTTGTCTCTGACCTGTAACTTGGCCTGGAGGGTTGCCCTGCCATACAGTGGAACATTGCAGGCAAGGGAAAGCAACATCTCCAAGGAGACCATCAGTTTGATGAAACAGTGAACCAGAACTATTACATAATGCACTGTATCTGAAACAATGTTTTCCAAATAGCATTGTTCAGCACCTCAAAGCTAGAAACAGCCCTGTCTCTTTTATTGATGTCAGTGTCCTGCTTCATCTCCAAAATTAGATTACCCTCCACATTACAACATAGACAACATTGCCTTCCAGCCGGTTACTTTTTACAGTGTTTAGATATTTGTCAACCCAGATAGTCAGTGACACAGAAAGATGTCTTGGGAGTGTTATGTACTGTGTGCCTGACCCTGTTTGTCCTCTCTGTGCATGTGTCTTATTTGAAGGAGCCTTAAAAGAAGATGTGAAATATTAAATCCACAAAAATCCTTCTCCAGATCAGAGTGTGGGACTGCTCAGTGCACAGAGATTTCCAACAATAGGATTAGTCTGTGCTGCAGCACCTGTCTGTGGGTCTTGGCACACAGGGAGGGCATTTTACACTGTATCTAAACATGTTAACGACTATGTTTAAGTTAGTTCATGTGTACTATCGTGCTTTATCATAGCTATTAACCGTTTGGCATTTTGTGTATGGACAAATAGAGATTTATAAACGAAGTGGACAAATTACAGTACAAGCTAAATTCAGGGAGTGATCAGTATCTTGAAGCAAAAATGTACTTTTCCACTGCTCTTGGTGGCATATTTATATATTGCTATAATGATCTGATTGCACCCAATATTCACTGTTTTATATAGAGTTATATATAGTTAGCAGTTATATATAGTTATATATATAGACAGCAGCAGAGCTTTCAAGTATAATTCAAGTTTTACAAATGTTTCTATGGCTTGCAACATTCTCTTGAAATAACCAGTCATTACTTCTCTGATGCAAAATCATAAACTATATTTGCATAATGAAGTTGAGCTCGCAGCAGATAACATCTTTTTTTCCAGCCTACCAACCAGAAACAATCTATTTCTTCTCACTTTTTTTTAACCCTGAGCTATTTCTGTATCACTCCCCACTCACTTGTTTGCCCTGTGTCTTCTTGTCCCCCAGACTGTGGAGAACTGCGTGTGCATCTTGAGGAACTTGTCATACCGTCTGGCCGCAGAGACCTCCCACAACCACCAGGGGGGGTCAGAAGAGTTGGATGGTCTGCTGTGTGACACTGGAGGAAAAGATGGAGAGAGCTCTGGCTGCTGGGGCAAGAAGAAGAAGAAAAAGAAGGGCCATGATCAGGTATAGCTACATACAGTATGTCATCTAAAATAAACAGAAACTACCAATAGTGGAAGTCATGTCCCTCTTACTTTCTTTTCAAATGTTGGAGGGTCTGGAACATCGAGCACATCCTCTTTCTTATTTAGTTTATCTGAATTCAGGGAGAACATTTGGCTCCAGACTATAAGACTATGTAAACCCATGCAGTCTTTGGCTTGCCAGACTAGGAATTATGTGGGGGTATTGAGGGTGGTGAAATTACAGAAAATGCATCCCTAATAAACTGTCCCACTATCAGCCTGACAGCAGACAGTATCTGTTATTTAGGGCTTACCGATAATACACTGACACATTCAAGCCTCTCTTCTGAAACCTGACATCTTTCCTCCCCTAAAAATGGGTCAAGCTCCAGTCTCTGTGGACCTCTACTCTTTTTAGGTCTCTCCAAATATGAAGACTGCAATCATTAAGATTTTTATCATTAATTTTCCTAATGAGAAATTATGTGAATCCACATAAAGGCTAAATTAATCAGAACATTATGTATATGGTATTCCTTTACCTTCCTAATGCATACAGTCAATAAAAACTGCTATTTTCTTTTTTGAGCCATCACAAGCATTTCTTGGAAATTTCATCAAAATTCTACCAGCAGCATAATCTCACAATAAGCAATAAAATACTCTCTTACATAAGGCTTTTTTTAAATCATATTTTTCAGTGAAATAAATGAATTATGTATGAGAGCATTGTGGTGATTTGATGATTATTTCCTCTGACATAGGTCAACAAATGGTCAATTTAAATATGCATACATGAAGGAAAGTTTTTACAGAGCAAAAAATATTCTGTTCATTTGAATAGTTGCAGCTAAGACTTAGTTATTTCCATGATATATATAATGTGCATATGCAAAGATACCCTATATGGTATGCATCATTGTCTTGCATTCATTTCCAAGAGGGTAGGTACTGTATGTAATGTTATAGGTTATAAGCAGTTTGCCCAGTTCATTTTGGGTTCATACTTTCTGATGTCTTTATGAATATTTATGGAAACATCACAGCTCAAGGCTCACTTTGATATGCATGATGTTATTTGCACATCTTCTGACATGCACCTGGATTATATGTAGGTATCTTCAATGTATACAGCCTATACAGTCATAATAGACTTCAGAAACTGTCAAATGTGAGGAAAGCTTTGATCTCAAAACGGTCTCAAAGACTTAAACTCCTCTTAATCTGAGCTTTTAAAAATACATTTTGAAAGAAGCATCAAACATGATGGAGACATCTTCATACCTGTATCCTAAGTATGATTTTATGGTTTGTAGCTCTCCTCAACCACACTCAACATAAATTCATCTAAAAATATCATTACTTGAAAATCTTTTCGAAATGCGAGCACTGAAACATGCTCTCGTCTCTTGTCATGGTAATAAGCAATCAGCGACACATTCTGGTGGAGTGGCAGGCTTCTTTTTACAACCCGTAGAAAACAGCTCAATTGAAAACCAAACATTTCCGGTAGATCAGGAAGTCTGAATCAATTGCTATTTATTCATCAGTTGGTGGTGGTTAGTGATGGTTAGTTTGGAGCCTTGCTTTTCGACCAAATACTAACTTGTGTATAGCTGGGCAGAATGGCCAATGTTGAGTTAACCTGTAAACTAGATGTGAGAAGTCAATCATAAGCTCTCCACAATAATAATATGTGCCACACTTTGGGCTTTTTGTCCCTCTGTGCCTCCACTCCAATGCAGCTGCGGATGATTATCGTCAAGTACAGACTGGGAGTGTGTTGGCGAAGCCTGAAATGAGGGCATTAGACGAGGCAGTGTGGAGGTGACAAGAGAGTAGGGCTAGAAAAAAACTAGATATCATAAGGTATCAACAATACACAGATTTAGTATTTGTGCATTTTTAACATCTTATGCAGATAAAATTAGCCAGGTATTTTCTTGCAGTAATATCAAATTTCCTTTATTTCATCGGTACTTTCTATGACAATTTGTGTCTTTATTGATCCCTAGTCACTTTAATTTTAACAGTGACACTATTTATTTTAGAGTAGAGACCCCGTTCTACTCAAAATGATGAAAGGTCCCTTGAGTCATTAATAGCCTTATAATCACATTTGCCTTATTGATATTTGGCACTCAGTTAATGCTATTTTTGTTAGCGAAGGTCTTGCTTCTATGCATACAGGAGATGCTAAGTCAAAAAATACATTTGCTTTGTACAGTTGTGAAATGAAAATTGTGCTTTAGGAGTGGATGAAAAAAAACTAAAAGAAAAAAGAAAAAAATAATAAATCAAGATATTACTGTATTTTACTGTGTGATTTTTTTTCTGTCTGGGAGTGGCCAAAATATCAACTCAAATGTACAGTAATACCTTTTCTAGCATAAGGAGTGGTCCTTTTAGACTAATTTATCTTATTTAAACCTGCCATATTGTCATTCTGTTTAGACTGGTATCCACTACTCAAATATTCACTATACAAATATTCTCTTCCTAATTGTTTCTGACAAAACAAATTCATCTCCAAAACATTCATCCCTCAGGCTTATTCTGAAGTGCATCTCTTCTCCTTTCTGCAGTGGGATGGTGTGGGCCCATTTCCAGACTTGGCAGAGCCCCCTAAAGGCATCCAGATGTTATGGCACCCGACCATCGTGAAGCCCTATCTCACCTTGCTGTCCGAGTGCTCCAACCCGGACACGCTGGAGGGCGCGGCCGGGGCACTACAGAACCTCGCGGCTGGCAGCTGGAGGGTGAGCAACTGGGCAGTCGCCATCTTGGATTTCTGAGAAAGGGCAATGACAAAAGCTTAGGAAAAATCTACTGAGGACAGGAAGTCAATGTAGATTAACTGCCAAATGGACTGACAATAACACAGTCGATGTCCTGGCAGGGCAATATACTTCTTGATTTCCTGCAGGATCAATAGTATCTCTCTAACCTAAACAATATGGTGTCCTATAAGGTAAACAAATCTGGTGACCTTTGAGACAATTTGAAGTGCATTTTTAATCTTTTTAGGCTCGAAATTAGTTGTTAACGCTCAGGTACTTAGTAAATGTGAGGGTTAGCAGGAAGTCCTAGAAGCTGTGGAGAGGCACTGGGAATGCATGTGTTTCAAGGCAATAACATCTGTAATTGAATAAAATGAAGACATGGAGACAAGCAGTTGTTGTATCTCCTATCAGAGAATATACCTCAGTCTATTAAGTAGAACCACAGCCTTGTCATTATTGTGCATTTGTCTGAAATGCTTGTGTTGCTTGTGTGCAGTGGTCAGTGTACATTCGGGCTGCAGTGCGTAAAGAAAAGGGGCTGCCCATCCTGGTGGAGCTGCTCAGGATAGACAACGACAGGGTGGTGTGTGCTGTGGCCACCGCACTCCGCAACATGGCTCTGGACATCAGGAACAAGGAGCTCATAGGTAACAGCTGCCAAGCACAAAACACAGTTATAAATTCATTACATTACTCCATTTGATTTACTTTGTTTCAAATATATAAGCTATATAAGAGTTTGATACTCAATGTATCCTGCAGTGACACCTGTTGTAGAGTTATAAGCACAACAAAAGCCTGATTTATGGAAGTCTACATTCATATAAAATAGTGACAAATAATTATTATAAATATAAATAAAATATTTTTATTATACATTTTAGTAATGTATATTCATTGTTGATGTTGAAAATTATATAGTTAATAGAGTTTACAGTAGATTTTCCTCGGCTCTTCAAAGCTTTATTATAAGCTGCCTACTTGAGATCAGGAATGTTTATATTTTGGGGTCTGATGCTGAATATTTGCTAAGATAAGGGAGTTGGGGGGGCTTAGTGGGGAAGGGTGAAAGGGGGAAAGGGAGAAAGAGGGGTCATGGGATGAATCTTGATTTACATTACATCGCCTTCAGGTTCACCATTGAAACAAAAGAGGAATCCGGCCATGCTTTTCTTCTTTTTTCTCAGTTTGTTTCCTGTTTGCTGAGCTCCTGGAGCTCTCATGGTGGCTGCCTCTGGTTTGTCTGGTATTTCAGCATAGAACCAGACACTTGGTTTAGTGTCTTCTGGCTCAGATGTTGTAGATTTGGATGGTTCCTCATCTCTGATTCTGATACTCTGACATTGGAGCTGGTGTTGTGAGACACTTGATGGATTAGGAGAGCTTGGATTAGGAAAGTTTGTTTACTACTCCTGCCACAGTTGTTGTTTTAGGAGTTGTCTCTGTGATCACTTTTGTATAACCTCCATTTTTGGTAATGTTGTCTGCACCCTATTCATTCTCAGTCAGACAGATGGAAGAAATCTCATTCTTTATGCTGGAACCTGAGTTGAATAAAATGTCTGAACATTGGGCGACGGACAAACATTTTTTGTTTTGGTCTTACAATCTCCTGCCCTTGGTGGTCTCTGTTCTTTTGGTGAGGCAGAAGGGTACACCTCGATAACCTCAGTCTTCAGAGCTGGTTTCTTCTTGGAAGATGCCTGGGTGGTCTCTGCTTTTTAGTTGGATCAGAAGGAAAAACATCGATAACCTCAGGCTTTGGTGGGGGGGCTTAAAATTCGGAGACAAGTTTGTTTACTTTCAGAAGCTGGTTTCTCTTCCCTGTTTTCAGATGGAGTCTTGTGGTCACCTGCCTTTCTTGGAAGACATCTTGGTGGTCTTTCATCTTTCAGTGGTCTCTGAGGATACACCTCAGTTTGCTGAGGGGCTTTCGACCAATTTTGTCCAACATTTATAACCTCCTGAACAGCCTGCTTGTGTGGACTGTTCTCCCAAGTTTTGTTTTGTTTTTTCAGTTTTCCTGAACCAGGCATTTTCTGTGGACTTTTGGTCCTTCCCTATCTGGGGTCGATTGCTACTCCTAGAATTTTTTCTCCACTTTTTAGGACCTTGGGATATCTCTTGGTTGGATTTGTTATGACAACTAGGTCTGCCATTTTGGGTTGTTCTTTGTGTTACCTGTTCAATATTAAAAGGTCTTCTTCTTCCTTTTGGAACCCAGGTTTTGGGTGCTGGAGATGTCTCTGCTCCATTGTTTGGATACCAAGGTTTCTTGGCATATCTTTGGTCAGCATTTGGGTTGTTGGCAGCAGCCTCCCCTCTCCAGTTAGGACGTGGATACTGTTGTCTCCTCACAGTGCTTTCTTGGCTCAGATTTTTAGGATTGCGTCTAAACCCTCCCTATTTCATGGGGAAAGAACCATGTGCATTGGATGAAGATCCCCTGGAAGCTGGGGATGCCTGGGCTGGTTTTGTCTTGTTCAGCCTTTTCTTATTGCGTCCTTTTTTCCCATCACTCATCTTTGGCTCCATTGTCAACAGGACCAATGTCAACAGCCTGTGGAGACTGGGCCAAGCTGTTCTTCTCCATCTCTTCGACTGTGGCAAAATAAATGAGGATTTCAGGTTGAGGAATCTGCACAGAATCTTCACTTGTTTGAAGGCCTTTCAATGTTTCAGGCAGCTTCAACAAGCGGTTTAGATGTACGATATTCAGTGATCACCGTAACGCTAGATCTTTTCTGGTTCTTTCTTCTTCATATTGTGTTAACTTTGTTGTTATCATTAATGTTGATAATAAGTCAAAGTGTTTGTAGTGTTCACCTAAAAGTGTTCTGCCGAAAAGACTTCGACCTATCTGTTTGCATCTGTTTATCAATAAAACAAACAAAAACAAGTAATTCCAAGTAGGTAGCCATTGTAAATGAATAAATAGTTCCCAACTTTTTAAAAATGATTTAAGTTTTTTATATTCTTTTTTTTTTCTTTTTTGTAATCAATTACAAAATATTAATTAATTAGGAAAAAAAAAAATGTAATCATTGTCCGTACTGTCAATACTCTTATATATCCTAATCTTTCAGCTAAGTAATGAACAAATCTAGCTCAAGGTCTGGAGATGGGATCCCATGTATTGCACTGTGGTCACCCACTGGTGGGGAAAATTTTCCTACGTGGACTTAAAAGGAATACTCTACCTTGATTCAGCAGGCTGGGATTATTAAATAAGTGCAATAGTATTCATCCCTGACCCTTTGTCGCTGGAGTTTATTAATCATAACTTTTCTACCCTAGTACTAAACATTTAATTATTAGCCTTTGTTTTGCCATAACTACAAACCAATATATGCACACTGCGGAGACTTAGATTTAAGAATATTTTTCAAACTACTATTGAACATTTTCAGTTTTCCAAAAGTGTGTGTCACTACCATTTTATGCTTTTCAAAAACAAACCATGCAATTACACGACCTTGCCAAAGGAGAAACAAATCAGCCAATGTGAACGCTGATGTAACCTGATTGGTCGTGATAAGAACATAATAGTCCATCATTAAAGTAACATTCAACGACACAGATACAAGTCAAATCTTTGTAAAGGATAAGTCTTTCTACGGTTTTCATTGGAGACCGGCTGATGTCTTTCCTCCAGTCCCCATAGCAACAGCCACATGCCGCCTTCCTCTTATTGTCTAAAGCTGGAGGCAGAGTACCAGCATGTGGCCATTCATGTGCACTGTGTGGGCTGGGCTGTCAGTCTTTACGGTGTATGGCTGCCCTGGGCTTTCATGTATATTCTGATTTGAACAGATTGTCTCTTTCTCCCCTTGTGCTCTTAACATGATCGCATCTTGTTAGAGACATAACATATTGTGTATTGGGCTCTCACACCAGTGTGTAAATATTTCAATACTCGCAGCTAATACAGACTTCTCTGCAGAAAGCCAACTGGTCTTTTACAGTTAACTGATGGATTGAAAAAGATGCAGTGTCTGTAATTGTTTGAATACAGAATTGTGTGGAATTCTGGGTAATTAAGTACACTGCACAGTTTTTACAATCCACGGACTGCTATGGTGAAATATGTCTTCTTTTTTGTAATTTATTTTTAATAACTTTTATGCTAATAAAGCAGTGACAACATTATTAAATGGTTTTAATTAATTACTTTAAACAAGCCTTTTTTACTTACAGAAAGCTTGACTTGGCGCTATAACTGATTCCTAGGTTTTTGTCCATGATGTAGTAGGTTCTGTGCTCTGAAAAAGTTTTAAACTAGTTTAGTAACAGATTCAGTCAACATTGGCATAGCTGTTGTCAAATGAAAATCATCTGCCTACCTGTAAGTTGCATTTCTGTATCTGAAAGTGAATGAGCATGGCGATGCCACAGTGTTTGCTGCTCGTATTTTTGATTTTGTAACAGCTACACTTAAACATCCAGCAGAACATAGCTGCAGCCCGCAGGTGCTGTGGTGACCTGGTCAGTGTTTAAGAGCAAAGGTCAAGTTTACCTTTTGGCATCTGTGTTTGCAGTCAATGCACATCAGCTCACCTGCTCATGTGCTTGTTATGAATTTGGTTATACAGTATTCTTTGTCTTTTGTGCATGGGGAGTAGACCGAATGTGATACTTAATAACATAACAGTTGATTAAATTATATTATTGTTATTATTATTTATTAATTAATTAATTAAATACAAAAAAATAGACATGCCATTCATGCTTTTACTTGGCTGCAGATCTCTTTATTAAAATGCCTAGTGCATATAATTGACCATTTGAAATAAATCTCATTTTGATTAAAAATCTTGTAAGTGCTCAGCCTAGCATTTTCACTTGTCTCTCTCTGTGAATGTCCCTGCACAGTTAACCTCCATTACTCACTTCTGTCCCCTGACTTCTGTCTTCCCTGTGTCTCTGTGTGTGTCCTCAGGTAAATACGCCATGAGGGACCTGGTGCACCGCCTGCCTGGAGGGAGCAACAACAACAATACCAGCGGGGGAGGCGGAGGGCCCAACAGCAGCCTGGTGTCGAAAACGATGTCGGACGATACCATCACGGCGATCTGCTGCGCTCTCCACGAGGTCATCACCAAAAACATGGAGAACACTAAAGCCCTGAGAGATGCTGGGGGGATTGAGAAGCTCATCGGCATTGCTCGCAGCAAAGGAGACAAGTAAGAAGAGTGGGAAGGCAGAGGGAGGGCAGGTAGAAAGGGATAGGTAGAAGGTTTTGGAGGTTTAGGGTTTGAAGTATGAGTGGATGTACTTGTATCTAACGTGAAAAGTAAATAGACACTTCAGAACTGTTCTATCTGTCTATTTAGTTTAATTTTACTTTTACTTTTATTTTTTAATCATGGCATTAAATGTATCTATTTTGCATTTAAAAACTTTCATCTTTACTGTGCTTCTTCACAATTGTGATTCTGGTACCTTATCCTGTTGGAGCCACTTGTTTTTATTTCCTTGGAGATAGATATGTTTAATGCCATACTGTTAAACATTATAGGTAAAACATTTCCTAGGAGAAAAGCAGATGGTGGATCATCAACCAGAAAATTTACATAATGCACTTTTACTAGTACACGTATAACCCTGTTTATAACCCTTTTCAGGCCCAAGCACGTTTGTTGTAGATGTGGCATACTCAAAATACCTTCCCTTCCATGTGTGATATAAAAACAACCAAATGAAGGGTTGCCTAATATTTTTGCACTACAGACTAAAGTAATCTATCTATTCTTTTTTGCTTAATAAAATTTCATCATCCCATAACCTCAACCCAAATGATTATTTCGCTTCACAGTGCGTTGTTTACCACAGCAGGTCACCAACATGCCCCCCACTCTGAAAAAACACTATGTAGGTCGGGACACACAGCAGTTAATGTGCAGCATTTGAATAAATTGTACTGGCATTATGCAAGACCTCAGCGGGCGATTTCACTGTTTAAGGAGAATAAGAGCACATTGTGACCTCTCCTCTCAATACCAGGCACTCCTGCAAATTATTAGCAATGCAATTCAATGTTAAAGGAATTTAAAAGATTTTTGAATTATGTGCCTGCCAACTTGAGCAGAACCTCTTTTCTTATGAGTCTAAGTCATGACAATATGAAACACTGAACAGCTCTATACTCCATTCGAGTGTAAATATTTATGACAATCCGATTCCTATTATATCAGCAATGTAATTATTTTCACTCTCCATCAATCAATCATTGTAACTTTATTTATCCCAACATAAGCAACATAAGCACACCGAGCAGTTAAAATATAAGAATAAATAGAGTAACAAAGGTCTCAATGTATCTTAACAGGAGGTCTGCTCAGGTAGAGTCAGCAGTTGTAGGGAGGAGAGTAAGAGTCCTCAGAACAAAAATGCTCCACATGTCCTTTAGCCCATGGGAGAACCTGGACACCACCAACAGGAAAACCCTCTCCTAGATTAACTAATATGATATTATGGTAATGCAGAAACACGTGAGAAAGCACCTACATTTTCCAGTTTATGTCTAAGCCACAACTGTCTTAGACCTTTCTGACCAACCACAATTGCACTATCCTGGTGTCATGTCCAAGGACCCAGTATATAATACAGGGAATAGGAATCCAACTGTCAACTTCTGTATTATGGGTAGAGCTGGTTATCATTAAGAAGTTGCTGTTATGATACATACTTTGATACATAGGCCACGATACGATACATACATTGCACTTTCGATTCGATACGATATATTTCAAATCAGTACAATACAGTTCAATAAAAAATAATGGCTAAATGATACACTAAAAGTCTTTGTTAAACCACTTCTTGTGCAAAGCGAATATAAAACACAATCATTTTAATCATCAAAACAGTGAATATGTCAAATGTGTCCCATAAACAAGTTTCCTTCCTCTGAACAAGCAACAAAACTGTAGCGCTGTAACAAAATAATTTTGTAAAATATATATAAAAATACTCTTGGTGATATATCGATACAGCAGTCCACGATATCAATACCTTATCATCACATTAAACAATATGATATTTCGATATTTTTGCACACATCTCTACTGACCGTGTCCTTAAAAATACTGAAGAGTCAGTTTTACAGTAGTTGGAGGATCAGCGATTGCCACATCAAGGGTCATTTACGTATGTTACGCATTTACATTATTTTAATTCTCCAAAGGCTGGTTAAGCTTTATTCTCTGTTGTTTTTGTCCCTACTGAATTCCCAGACATAGTCCCAAAGTGGTGAAGGCAGCATCTCAAGTCCTCAACAGCATGTGGCAGTACCGAGATCTGCGCAGCCTCTACAAGAAGGTAACTTAATGGATGCACATTACAAAACACATTACAAAACACCTACTTTTCTTTTACCACTATTTCAAATTCAATTCAGAAATGTCAACAGTAATTTCTTTTACATGTTAGATGCTAATGTTCAGTTTAATTTAACCTGTGTCTTCTGTAGGATGGATATTCCCAGTACCACTTTGTAGGTTCCTCTTCTACGATAGAACGTGACAGACAGCGACCTTACTCTTCCTCACGCACCCCTTCTATCTCTCCGGTCCGGACATCGCCCAACAATCGATCAGGTCAGCCCCCACCTCTCCTCCTCACCCGCTCCTCACACACACACACACACACATACACACACAGTGGGTTTCCATTCTTTTTGGGGACATTACATTGACAGTTGCACTTTATAATAACTAATCCTAATTTCCCTTAATAAAGCATGAACACAGACTTAATTCATAATGAACAAATAGTTTCTTAAGTATGATTGACTTAGTAACTATCTAATTAATGGCTTAGGCTAAAACATTTTGTTATTAATTAAGTACCAGGCCTGAATCATTCTTAATAAATTCTTAATATAAACATTATTAATGACTCTTCATGCTTTATTAAGGCTCAGTAGTTATAGTTTTTATAAAGTGTTACCACATTGACATTACTTTCTTAGAGACTGATCCTAACCTGTAACTACTTCAATAAACTTCTCTAACCTTAAAGGGACAGTCCTGAATTTTGGACATAGGACCTCATTTCCTAGATAGCCAGAGTGTTGGAGACGTGTGGAGACAATTTTTTAAATATTCCATCCAGTCCTTGTATTTGCAGAGGTCATTGGTGCTAGGATGGCGCATGTCAATGGCCACAGTTAGCCTGCCACTAAAAACAGTCTTACACACACCACACAGCACCCGAAGCAAATCTATTATTACGCCAGACTCTCGATGTAAATGTCTCTTTTGATAGAATAATGTTTGAAATAAACTCCACACGTTTCCAACAGTCAGGATAACTAGGAAATTAAGGGCCTATGTCCAAAATTCTGGACTGTCCTTTTAACCTATACCCTAATCACAATCTTTTTTAATCCATATCTGAACTGTAAATCACATTATTGATCTAATAATTGGAGCCATAAGTGAGGCAGATATGATGTGAGTCTACATACAGATTTTAGTCCCCACAATGTGATAAAAGCCCACCCACAAACATTGGCCCTCATCCTGCTTGTGCTTTCATCACTCAGCCCTTCAAGACAGAGCAGTCGAACCCACACTACTTCTCCACAACTCAAGTTTGCTTTAACCTTCACACTGCGACAGGCTCCAACTAATGACCCTTCAGTCTGTGATGGCCCTGTGCGGCAGTGTTTAAGGGCTGTTTAAGTTAAATGGGTTCAGGACTAACACAGGTAATGTAATGTTTGGTAAGGTTTTTGTGTCCCGGGATGGTTCTCTCTCTTATATGTAGCGCTATGGGTCTCCTTTTGTTTTTGAAGACAAATATCAATGTCAATCCAGTTTTTAAAAATTTATGCAGACACTGACACCTTGTGCTGAAAATATTCTTGTGGGGCAACAGTATAAAGAGAAAAATGTTTCTATGACACTGCATTTTGAATGTCAAAGATGCTCTATGGGTCTCCATGGAGGTGCTACTGCTTTACCTACAACTCCACACTATTGCATTTCATTTGTCTATCATAGAGGCAGAGTTACAGGTCTTATTTGTGGAGAGGAGATCTTGGACAAACAGTGTATATTTTTCAATGAGTTTAAAACATCTGTAATTGAATAAGTGCTAGTTACATGAAACATTTTGGGCAAAGCTTTCCTGTGAATGTCAATGGAGACAAGCACGCTTATGATAGAGGTAGCCCTCATGAGAGTCATTCTCTACTCTACTGTATTAGTCATTTTGTTCATAGCTAGTTCACTGGAGATGTATCTTGATATGCATTTAAAAATATTGACTACCAAAATTAATCTTGTTGTCTTCAAAAGGCCATTTCAAGTCAATTTGGCTATAATCTAACCATCAAACCATCTAACCACTCACCACTCTTTCCTTTCTCACTGGAAATCCCCCCTTCTAAACAGTCTTTGTTGTTACCATTTTAGAAAAGGCTCCCAGCATTTCCACTGTGAAAACCCCACAGAGAAATGATCGAGTTATTTGTTGGTGAAATCACAGAAAATATTCATATTGTGTGTCTGTTTTGTGTGTAGCGAGTGCGCCTGCTTCCCCTAGAGAGATGATGGCACTGAAGGAGAGGAAGGCAGACTATGAGTCAACGGGCAACGCTACGTACCATGGCAACAAGGGCGAGCACACATCCAGAAAGGATGCTATGAATGGTGGGATTTTGTACTGACAAGACCCTTGAAGACAATGAAAACACATTTCTAATTCATACATTATATATAGCATTACTTGTAGAGGAGTGGCCTAACATATGGCTAAACTTATCAAAAATATTGAGATACTCATAGACAGCTACAGTGCTTATCACTTACTGAAAGGGGACAATGCTGTGTTTATATAACTTTATTTCAACATGTTTGATCCTGTCTTTGCAGCTCAAATCTCGGGAGGATCATCAACACTGCACAGAGGAGCGTACGTGTCCCCTACAGATGACCTCAAGTATAACCAGGTATGACCACTGCTTTTATATGCAGATGTCTAAGAATACAGATAAAGTTACCATAATCTGAATAGGAAAGAGGTTTTACTGTAGTTCAAAGTACTTCTATTCAGTGTTCCCATAGTAGCTCTGTTGAATTGAAAATGCACGTACAAGTGCAACATCATTCATGAAAGAAGCTAAGAAGACTGAAAAATGGAAAGGGGTGCCTGAAATTATAATATACACTGTTTGTATCCTGTGAAAATCTTGAGGATGAATTAAGTATGAGACAATTACATCAGTTCAATGCCCATGTGTGAGTCTGACACATTTGGGTTGAAAATGAAGATGTGCGATGCAGTGTATAGATATTCAAAAGAATGTCTGGTATACTGAATCAACACAATTAAAACGTGGCGCTCGTCACTATCACAGACCTATTTGTATGTAAAATCTTCAATAGTCTCAGATGTACATCGTTTATTACAGTGTCTAATGTATTAACCCATGTTATGTTCCACAGATTGCATCTCAAGGGTTACCGTCCGAACCATACCCTCCGTTTCAGAACCCTCCTCCACCAGATGCCGGCAACTACGAGGACCAAGCCTTTTATGACCCCCAGGTTCATCCAGGAGGGCGCCCCCCACAGGGCGAAATGCACCTACAAGGCCTCAAATCCACTGGTAACTATGTAGACTTCTACTCAGCCTCAAGGCCCTACAGTGAGCTCAACTACGAGACCAGCCACTACCCGGCTTCTCCGGACTCCTGGGTCTAGACAGGGAGCACTGGGGAAGGGACTGTGGATTAGCCCCGCCCCATTCTTCTTGTAGCAGCAACAGTAGCAGGACAATGAGACAATGCAAAGTGGACTAAGCACTCCTGCTGGACACACAGAGGGACACAGGACGGAAGAGGAGCAGCCGTGCATGTGCATGCCACCACCACCAAACCTGACAACACATTTCGTTTTTGTCTTTAGTTTGTGATACACGATGCAACAGACAGGGGGCGCTCCTGCACTAACGGCCCCTGAACGAAGATGGTGAATAAGTCAAACAAGAGGATATTGAAGATGTGATGAATTTGACGGCTTTTGGAAGAGATAGATGGATTATGCGATTGGTTGCAAAGTGGACCGGAAAGTTTTATGGATTTGCAGGAGTCATCTGTACATACGTGGTATACAGTAGTAACATGGCTTTTAGTAACGTGAAGCACAACACGCAGTAGGACATGTAGGACGTCTGTTTGCTAAGATGTTTTTCTTTGGCTTCAGTGCGACGTTTCATCATCAAAGAAAGAACGCTTGTGGACATTTGTAATTTGTTTTATTCGTTTCTTATTTCTACTTTTTTATTCTGGTTGTATAGTAATAAATGTACATTACAGGGATGTCTTTACATTGCACTATTTTGGTGTCATGTCAGGCCTTCACAAATTCACTACTGACTACTATTGTACACAGCCACATTCATCACTGCGAATCTTCAGGACTCTTATCACGGACTTGCCAGAGTGGGAAAGTTGTGTCCATTCATTTCTGTGAGGTGCTCCTTTTGCTGCCCTACACAGTGGCTGCCATGATGAAAGACTTACTCATTGATGGAAGTAGTAGCAGATAAGCCTTTAATGTAATGTAATATTCATTTAACCACTTAAACCCCCTTTCTGTTCCTGTGCTTATTGTGTAGGCCTACATAACCGTGCCAAAATGAGAGGTCAAGTGGTGGTTTGATAAAGGGTCCAATTCAGCCGAAGATTTTGGCTGGACATGTTAAAACGCTTCAATCAATGCTAGTTTGTAAATGCTATGGCTTTTTCTAAATGGTTTTACTGTCCATATTTCACCAAGAAAACAACAAAAAAGAGCGACTGTGGAGGGACTGCGACTGAGCGGAGACGTGCCGCCTCCAAAGCTGTACAAAGTTAGTTGATTTCTGTGTTGTAAAATAATCAATGTTTGAAGTACAAAAAACTTTTCTGAGGAATGGCTGGCGGTTCTAACTCCATGGTAGACAAAACTGTTAATAGAGTATGGATATATATTATATAAATATAAATATATACTTTTTATGTGCAGACGTGGATGTCACTTATAGCAGCAACATTATGGAAAAAAGACAATGTAAAAACAGCTTCATGTAGGGGTTTTGTTCACATTTGATTTCCTGGTCAAAAACACAAAATTGTTTGTCGTGTAATGTTGTTGCTATGTGGAGTAGAGTAGAGCAGGCCCATGGATCCACATTGTCACTGCAGCAGTCACAAGCGGTGCTACATCTGTGAGAGAAGAACAAGTATTCCCCCAAATGTCTGTATTAAACAGTGCACAATGTTTGTTGCATACGGTACAGTACGATGATGATAATAAACATTTCTAAATGTTGGACTTTGAACACACCACCAAGTTTCTTTCAAATGTGTGTTTCTGATGCCTGGACCCCGAGAATGCATGGGTATTTTATCAATGAAGCCAAAGGAACAAATTATACTAGAACACTAGCCATGAAAACCGGACAGCAATCTATGGTTATGACCATTATCAAAACTGCCAGCTTCTGTCTAAAATGCAGATGTTTTCAAGTTAGACCTAGAAAATATTGCTTTTGGTTTTCATTCCAATGTGTTCTTGTGTAAAAAGTTCCTAGTTAATCATTAAATATTTAAAAATGCCCCCACCAAACACTGAATGAACGCACATGTGTATGTCTTTGTGATCCTTTGGCTGAAAACCATTTTAGGACCTGTATGACGAGTTATAATGTTGGTTTATGTTGTTAGACCAAAATGTGTTTGAAAAGATAATTGTGTATCTTTCTATCGCCTCAAACAGATGCAACTGCTCCAAAAATATAAACGGATCATCCAAAATATCTCTTGATTTTGTTGTTTCTTATTTTTTCTGGGTACTATTTTCTTTTTTTATTCTTTGTCCATATTTTTAGGTTTATGTTTAGGGTTTTTCCAATATAAATGGACAAACTCACCTGGAACAGCCAATCCATCACAAAAAACGTCTCCTTGCTGTGTAGAGTTTTAAGTCCAAGAAGACACCATCTATTCCAAACCTCTCCCACGTGGTGCATTCGAGGAGACTAAACCATCTGGGTATTTTGTGGTCAGTTGCCAAAGAGTTGTGCACTTAAAAAGCAAAGTTGGAAAGTTAAATGGAATGAGCCGGAATGAGTTTAGGGTTCAGAGGATCTAGGCCAAGTCATGTGAAAGCTTCAAACTAAATGCAAATGCTTTATAATATAATGCTATTGCTACACAGATAGCATTTAGAGGGTCACAGTGTGGTTTTCAGTTTTCACCTAGATTGTTGCTTGGAGTCTGTCAATTCCAAAATGTCATACTTAAAATCCTATTCCAGATTTGTTTCTCAGTTCTATTGAAGCTGCAACATGTAACTTTTCTGGAAGAGGATTCACCATCTGATTGTTTACACTGAGATGTGATTATTTTGCCTGAATTGTCCCATACATTGGCAAACTTACTTAAATCCAAGGTAGATTAACTCATCTATTCTTATTATTAATCATACAGGTGATTTATTGCTAAAAGATACATTGAAAAACATGCATACTTACTGAGAACATAGACATGCCTCTCTAGTCTTCACTGATCTGACCTGTAACTTGGCAGATAGTAAGGCAAGGCAAGTTTATTTGTATAGCACAATTCATGCACAAAGTAATTCAAAGTGCTTTATAGAATAAGTAACAAAACAAAACATAAATCACCATCATAAAATGAGACATTAAATGAGAAAGAGTGCAGAATGAAAATCTTTCACTCATATGCACAGCTCGATAGAACTGTTTTGAGCCTTGATTTAAACAGAGTCAAAGTAGAGGCCTGTCTCACATCTTCAGGAAGACTGTCCCAGGTTTAGCTGCATGAATCTGAAACGCTCCCCATTTTTAGTCCTGACTCTGGGCACCCTGGGTCCATGAGGTCCTCAGAGTGCAAGATGGTTCATATGGCACTAAAATGCTAGAGATGTACTTTGGTGCTAAGGCATGGACAGACTTGTACATGGAAATAAATAAATTTGGGGCCAATTCCACCAGAAAAATCACATTGGGCACCTTTAAATACTATTTTGGCTTTATGAAAACAACTGCCTGAGCATGAGTTATGGTTTATAAAACACATGTTTTCCTATGGCCATAACTCTGAAATAATCATGATTAATAATAACAAAACAAAATTACAGTACATTGACATAAACCTGTGGTCAAAAGTCCCTCCCTTTTCTAATGTTTTGAATCCTTATTAAGCCTTGAAAGTATTCATTATTTGCAGATGAATGTAAGCGAATGCACACAACAGTTTAGTGAACATGTGTCCCTGCCCTTGCATGTAACTGTGTAACTCTACAGTCGGACCCAGATATTGGCTCACGGGGGCGCTCTATTGGCCATTAATAGTATTGCACCCCCGGTACAGGTCAGAGTGGCAGCCATTTTAGTCTCGGAGGCTCCGCTCTCCATGGCACGCGCTGTAAAGTCACAATATAGCGGCAAACTTAGATTTCTATCAGGCTGAGGTCATGTCCGTCCCACCGTGAGAGAGCCGTTCAAAGCCGAACCACGTGTCAGTCACAGCGGCGGGACAGAGGACAGACTGCCCTGCTCTTCTTCTCCTCCTCCTCCTTATCTCAGGTGAACTACAGACACCCTGCCCCTCTCTGCATGCTTCACTCACAGGTCCCTTTGAATATTTAGCCTAAGTAAAGAGATTTGAAATTTTGATTATATATATATATATATATATATATATATATATATATATATATATATATATATATATATATATATATATATATATATATATATATATATATATATTCAAAAAATGTCATAAACAACAAAACTGCCTGCAGAGAAATGGTTAAAAAAAAGTTAAGTAGAATAAAGAGCAAGAAGTATGCAGCTTTGACCTGCTAAAGTAATTGTTTGTAAGATTAAATAGGCCTATTCATAGATTCATTTAGAGTATTTATAAACATTGGACATGATGTTTCATTTATTTATGTTATAATTTGGTTGCCTGACCAGCCAATCCCTTCTACAGTCTGTTCAAAGGGTCTGGTATCATCTTGAAAATTCTTGTACACAGTTTGATGCTTTTGTTGATTCAGAAATCTGTAATCCACCTGTCAATCATGCCCTATAGAATGGAGGAGACAGGATACTGTTCCATACCCACTCATTGTTGTAAAGTGTTGTCAGTGTATGTGGTTCTGGCTGACTAAGTAAATAATTTGGTGTTTTGGTTTTTAAGATAATTATCAAATCAGCAGAATAAGCCTCACATTTGTCACTCTGAGCTTTCACATGAGGCATGGCCTGTGAGAAAACAGTTCTCTTCATCTGCACTGTCAACCCATTTTTTTCTCCTTCCTTTGCCAGAGCCCTAGTAGCTTGGAACATTAGTGGCATCAGGGGAGTTTAACAATAGCCAAACTGTAGCGACTGAAGGGTCAGTGCAACTGTTACCTGTGGCTCATGAAGCACAGAAGCTGTTACGGGTGTGGACAGTTGGCTGCACAGGAGATAAGATGCTGATTTAGAGATGTGTTGCAGTGCAACAAGGTTATGTAGCCTTCTATTTCATAAATAATGTATTTAATAATAAAATTAACACGTGCTTTCTGGGGAAAAAACAAACAAACATTTATTTCAAAATTACTTTTGTGAGACATAAGGGCTACAACAAGGCTACAAGTTAATGAATTTGGCATCTTCTCACTTTATTGTCAGTGAGTCT